AAAATATGAATTCCTGCAGTCACGAAAGCTTTAAGTCAAGATTTAATGCATATATTATCAGAGTATGTTTTTTGTTTGCATTCTGACCACAAGTATTGTGGTTCATGCAGACATGATTCCTTGTTAAAGGTTTCAGTTTGGTGTTGAAACATCTCAACACCTGTTTTGTTGCCGTAAAAAAGGGGAAAACCTATTCTCTTATTACGCAAAGTCGCTCAAATATGACGCTTCTTTACAGAAAGTGACAGTAAAAAAATTTATATACGCAGCACAGTGCTACATCCGTGCGGGACGTCGCTGCAATGAGCCCCCCCCCCCCCCCTTCATTAATTTTCATGCCCGCGTGGAAATTTACACGAACGCACAAGAAGGTCGCACACTCCACAATCCGCACCCCTCCCCTCATTAATAATCATGAGCAGGTGATGTCACTCCACGTGCCGCACCCCTCATTAATAATCATGAGCAGGTGATGTCACTCCACATGCCGCACCCCTCCCCTCATTAATAATCATGAGCAGGTGATGTCACTCCACGTGCCGCACCCCTCATTAATAATCATGAGCAGGTGATGTCACTCCACATGTCGCACCCCTCCCCAATAACCATTAGCGGGTGACGTCACTCCACATGGGGCAACCCCTCATTAATAATCATGAGCTGAGAAATTTTTCTATTGAATATTTCAGATTTACTGCAATATACACCCGTCCTTGGATGGGCAAAAATGCTAGTAGTATGATATTCAGTATCGTGAGACACGTGGCCATCATCAGGACACTTCGTCCATCAAACGCCTCGCACGTGGAATTACGTCTAAACTGATTCCTATCTTGAAAAACACAGATGGAACTGATTTCAAGAATTACAGACCAATTAGCCTCCTGGCACATGTGCACGAGAGTCGGCGAGATGTTTACTACCTCGACTAGTATACAGGAGGTCATGGGTTTGAGCCCAGCCCTGACGCCTGCTGTATATTTAGAGTTGGCATGTTCTCCCTGTGGTCACGTGAATTTTTTTCTCCGGGTCCTCTCGTTTTTCTCTCCACGTTTAGAAAAAACGCGTTTAAAGTATTTGCCTGCTATACATTTCCAAACGATAAGCCACTTCGCTGAAGAAGAGCTATACAGCTCAGTGGGCCTTACTTGGTAAAATAGTAATAGTTTAGCATACATTATTTGTGTAGATTTCTGAAGAATATATATTGAAGGCGGACCAGGTATACAATAAAGAGGCAAACGACAGTAGGATGGAGTGCTTTAGAATGCTGATATTGGTTATGAAAAGCAAAACACCACTGTGCCTCCAGAGGAACATTGAAGCATTGTGCAATATTCCTTAAGGACCCTGTACCCGTTCTGTGCAATATTAATTGGCTTATTTTGTTGTTGCTGTACTGATGCACCACGGATCTCTGTTGTAAAATAGCCGTGCAACTGTCTAAAACAGGAGCGTCCATGTAACGAATACAATTAATTTGAGTGCTTATAACCTGCTATGATGTGTGGATCAGAAAAATGGACATTGACAACTAAAATGGAAAAAAAAGATGACAAGTGAGTTTAACACGGAGGCTTTTGTGACCAATATCCATAATACAGGTTTTTTTGGGTTAGATCGCATAAAAATATAAATGTGTCATTAAACCCGCCACCACCTGACACAGCCAATTAGTAAGGTTGGTCACGTAAACAGAAAATGCAAATTCGTTACTAGTACAGCACACCGGTGTGTTTGAGAACCAAGCCACACCATTTACAATCTGAGTACGACGTTTCGCCAGTAATTGTGGCACTCCAACTAGGTGCGTCTAACAAGGTTAAGATAAAAGGAGCCTGTTTGAGATCGCCCTGCGTTGTGATGAAGAACTGGCAGTAAGAATATGGGACATTATTTGTATTGCACAGCTGGCGTGCACCTCGAGACGCAAAATAAAGCACTCGCATTATCGACACTCACAAGGGCCACATTTTAACTCTACACACACGCCAATGCCAGCGTCGGCACAAACGATCGATTGCAGGGCTGCGCCTTTACCGTATACACATGCCAATACAGAATAGTATCACATTTCTCCCCTCCGTATGTGTTGCAAATTGGACCCATGATTTCCAAAGTGCACTCGAGTGTAGACCTTCCCCTTGGTCACCAACTCCAATGTCTGTCTTGGTAACCTGCCCACCTCCATTCTGCAGGGTCTAGCAGAAGGAAGAAAGTGTTTGTGAAATGTTTTTTTCATCCACGTTGGCCAAGAATGATAACCTTTTGAAATTTAAATGGCAATAGTTATTCATTTTGTTAGGACCGTTTTTTATGGTAGGCTCAGGTGAGCCCACTAAGGAGATAAATGGACATACGGTACATTCTTCAGTTACGAGATCAAATCCGCATGGACTGTGCCTTGCCATCAGAAGTTATAACCACCGACTCAAAAACCACTCAAATTTAAGTACAGTATAGTTCTACTAAACTGTTAATAAAACATTGGGGCCAATCTGATTTATATAAATATGTTTTTGTTCTGTACTATCCAAATATGATTTAGCCATGCATATAGAGGACAATTAACAATTTAGATTCATTTGTAAGACGCCTTCCATGAATGCTTCAAGGCACCTTGCTAGAACAAGGATAATGAAAGGTCCAAGAGAGAAGGAGAAGCTAAATAGAATAAACCGACGTGAGAAAATTTGTTTTAAGACGAGACTTAAAAGTATCCATGTTAAAACAGTTTGTATAAAACTAGGTGCTTGGGGTAGCTCAACCGGTGCCTCTGAGATGCTGGGTTCAACTCGATTGCCACCCAGCATTATTAAACTTGTTTTTCAAGTGCCGCAAGTTTATTGTCTCGACCCAGTCAGAAATAACTACGAGGGAAAAAAAAATTGAAAGTTGGTGTTGACCTGACTTTGCTAAATTCCAGCTCAGACAATCACTGCCATCGAGACCCTCACCAGGACAAGCTGATTGAGGACGAACGAATAATCACTGCCATGTGCCAGGCAGTAATCTTGCATAGCGCGTATGAATGGATGAAAAAAAAGACCACTTGTAAAAACATTCTGGGGAAATCCTTTTCTCTTCTTTCTGGTGATTGTCTGGCACATTGGTGCGAGTCCTGCATGTCTCGGCCTTGTGACATCGCCTCTGAAATACGGCGCTGGACAAAAATCAATTATGATGATTATTATCGTAATTAATTTTTCTCTCATGAGATGACATTCGACAATCGGAATAAAATTGGGGGAAATTAGCAAGTATAAAAACATTAACTTTTTAACAAAAATATATCAAGTAGATAAAAAATGCACCTTATTAAAAAGCATTTATGTTTAAGAATTGCCAAAGCATTCATATTGTGATGGTAATTTGTATAATTTGGTATAAATATTAGTATGAGTTCTCTTCGGGGACTGTTTGATAATACTCAATGTATCATTTAACTTTAGCTAGACACAAAGCATTCTCTGTGGTTAGAACAAATAGACTGAGCACAATGGGAGTGCAACTTTTCCTATAATTGCGACCGTATTGTCACACTGCACTTACAAAAAAATAAATGTTAGTTCAGATAACAGGATGCATTCATATGGTACCCTGGGTTTATAATAATAATGTTCTTTTGCAGCACGGAGAAACACTTTTTTTTTCCCCATTGAAATAAACATGCATTTGTGTACCTTGCACAATGGGGTCTACTTTCCATTGCAAGCTCCCATCGCTTTGTGCTGTTAGATTTGTTCCAAAAAAAGGGGGTGGTCGGCGTGTGCACACAAAGTGCGTAACCGAGTAGCGTGCACGGTACATAACTACTTGTCCCAACTTCGGTCCGCGTAGCGCGCTTCTGAGCGAATTCAAGCGATGCAGCGTAGCAAATTTCGTCTTAATATAGGTGAGCTGCATATACTCTATCACACAAACCCAAGCCGCATAAAGCTTAGGAAAGCTGTCCATGATTCGTGCATGGTACGCCATTGTGATACTGTTTATTTATTCTGAATTAGAGTGGTTACAATCTTCAATTGTGTGCTACAGGCAATGTTTATTTACATGTTATAGATATGGAAAAGGAGTGGGTGTAGACAGCAACGTGGGTGTCTCCCTTTGCCTTCCTTGTCTTGATGTTTAAACACGACTCCCAGTTTTTTTTGTTTAATATTGGTTGAGTTCACAGGGGAGGGCCCAGTCCATGATCAGATATCATTTTCTTATTCTCATTCTACGTGACTTTACCGAAAGAACCAAAGAAGATGAATCATTGCAGTCACGAAAGCTTTAAATCGAAAAATCAGATATCATTTGTCAAATAATATGCACGGTGGTGCCGAATCAAACCGAGGTGACTGGGATTATAGCACAGTGAGTGAACCACTGCCTTTATAAAGTCATGTTATGGGTGCTGTGGCCAGTGCAATGCCAAAACACCGATGCCTCTGGAATGCTGCTGTTTACGCGCTGCATCAGTACTCATTTAAGACAGTTGACTTTGGAACCCGTTAAGATATCGCTCGCCCGCTAATGTTGCAGCGCAGTGCACAAACCGCTTCCCACACTGCTCCTCAGCAAAGACACCTACAGTCGAAACAAACTTTTGAGGCAAGTGCCGGAGTGAGCACCTATGAAGGCCAGCACAGTACACGAGGCGGTGTATGGCCAGCACCATGCCTGAAAGGCCTTTGTCTCCCCGGTGGCGACGCGTACACATCACACCAGGTGCTCATTTTAGGCCAAGTCAACCTATGGGAGACCCTGGACCGGTTCAGAGAATCGTCTTTGGTGTTGGCCATGAACAAGAATTGGAATCGGTTCATTTGGTTTGTAGCGCATCGCTCTAACTGCTTTGTTATGCATCACAACTTCCACTCGAACACACTTGGAGTTAACCTCATGCAACGGACTGTGTGGTGTCCCAATTGAAAGTTAGTTTGGTTGGAATTTATTTTTCATAAACTCCCGCAAATGCTTCCTCTTGTTGTTGCCGTGTTGTGCGCGTCCAGATTGGTGAACTGCGTGGATGCTCTCCAAAGCAGCGGGCGCTTTGCCAATCCACACTCTCATGCCTTCTTGGACCTAAACCGAGACTTCACCGCAGGTACGCAAAGAAAAGTAATTGCCGCTCCTCACAACGTGGTGCCAAGAAACCCTCTGAGGTGTATTCCCAAGGCTCCCTTGAAGCCACGTCTCTATGTTTGTCAAGGGCCAAGCATCGATCGTGGTCCGTTCTTAAATATTTAAAAGTTTCAGGATTGCTGAGTGTGACTTGGCTGTTCACTGTGAAAGTTTGATTTTTTTTTTTTGTTCATTAGTGTGACCGTATTTGAAGAAATAAAAAATCATTTTTTTTCCATTTATCATCGCTGTCGATTTAATATTGTCCGTAATCATGAAACATCTGCAATCTCTGTGTCTTGCTTACCACCATCGTGCATTGTTCACTAGCGTAATCATCATAAGCGTCAATTATTGTCTGTAAAGCGAATGGCGTGAGGGTTTCGTGTACATCGACTCCCACTTCGGCACGATGTTTGTGCCAAAACTAAAAAAAACTGTGACCCATGATTGGTGATCCTATCCCCTCGTGAGTGTTATAACTGCTTGTTGTTGGGTGACATCTTTCGTGACTATTCCTCGGTTCCCTTCTTGCTTCCATCAACGGCTCCCACCTCGAGTTTAGCGCCTTGATTGCCAAGCGGCAGTGCGGGAGTCACGTAGGGAGGAGGGGGTTGCCGCACAGCTCCGCGCCGCTGCCGTCCAGTGGGCTGCTTGATTATGAAGCACTTTGCTCTGTCGCGAACAGCAGCTGTTTGCATTTAATAATACGTGCAATATTCTCCTCGTTCCATTTGCACAGCAGTCCTTTTAACATTTCTTGACTTCTTCTTTGGTTCTTTCGGTAAAGTCACGTACAATGAGAATAAAATAATAAATTGATAAAATAAAATAACACAATAATATTCTCACGACGTTTCGGCCACAACACAAGCGGCCTTCATCAGGTGAAGGGACGAGACTGTCTGGTAGGACAGCGCTGGAGTGAAAGAGCCACGTTCAGATCACGACCTTTAAGCTGTGTGAGAGGAAACAAAGCGCCTTGACAAAGGAATTAGCATGTAATTTAGCATTGAAATGGCTGAGTGATTAGCTTGTGACTGGTCACAGAAATAGCTATGTTAAAAGTTCTTGACTTCCTCAACACTTTATCTTTACCCCAATTTAATTTCTTGCAATTGTGTAATTGATTGTGAATTTTAAATTGGGCCAGTATTGGCCATGACTGATGCACAATGAACCCACTCTTGCGAACAACAACACGGGGTAAACGGAGATAAAGCAATGGACACACTTTGTTTTTTCCTCAGCTTTAGTACATTCGAGAACAATTGTTCTCGTCATTGGACAGTTATTATGCTCGCGATATGGCAATTAACACAGCAGTATTATGTAACATACACCAGTCGCTCCATGTTTCATCACCGTGATCTTTATCATCGCCACCACCGCTGTCATTTATTCCTCATTTATCATCGTCATTCTGCGGTCGTCTGTCTTCATTATCATGAAAAAAATTCTCATCATTCATCAGAGTTTATAAATATCCTGGCCCCGCCAGTCATCCATGTTCATCCGAATACATTGTCGTCATCATCATCAATCAGGCTTTTTCATCACCATCTGGTTCACATGTCAACAACTTGCAAAGGCCCGTACTTCTTGAAGTCTGTCGTTTCACACTTATTAATAATTTGTTCATTTCAACATTTCAGAATCTTTCAAAAAGCCTTACTCAGACCAAATAAACGGTCAGCCTTGGAAAGGGAAGTGCCTTGTGCCAACATGTAAGAATAATTTCCCCAGCTAACTTGTCCACGCATGTTAGTGACAGATGTAGAGCACCGTCAGTCCCATGGAAACTAGCACTGCGCAAGCTTCAGAGTCTGCCATATGACTAATAATATCATTAAAATGTCATTATGCCACCATCGCTGCTCTGTAGCCTCCCCACCAGCAATGACGCCCGATGATGCTCAGCACAACGTCTGTGTCTGGCCGAATAATGGCATGCAGGGTTGGGATGGATACAAAAAGATTAAGGTGCAGCCCTGCAAGTGCTTGCTGCTCTAGATGGGCCTCCACTCGAGGGGGGAGTTCTATACAGCCCCTCCATAGAGGGTATTTTGGTGTACTCTTTCACGCTGGCCAAGTGTTTTGAAGAGGTGGGTATAACGCATCCTCTACCCCCACCGAATGCGATCTGCCGATCACCTAACTGTGTGGTGTAACTAGTATACTGCTGGCTGGTGTTGTATATGCCGGGTATTTCAAATTTGATGAAAATGATACAATTTAAATGAAATTTGCAAAAAGCGTGTAATTATCCGAAATTATGTTAATTTATGTAATTATGCGCATGAATTATGCTAATTAGCAAGATACTCATTAATTAATGCGAATGTGTGCGATTTTGCTGATGTACGCAGTTATGATAATTAGGCCCCGCCTCGCTGACGAGGGCAGTATTATCAATCGGGATCACACAATTAATTGTATGAAGTTATGCTAGATTAAACTTTGCTTCGTTGTCTAGGGTTGTATTATCAATCGGTATAATACAATTATTCTCGATTTAACATTTACTGATTATGTATTAGTGTGTTTATGTCAGGTTTCGAAATTAAAATCTCATCGCAGGATGCAGTTCTTATGATTAAGATTATTATGCATGAACTGAGGAAAGAAACACTCAAACACTTGTGTGTTAAGCAATTTAAATTTCTAAACAAAACCTTAACACTCTAATATGCGAACTCTTATGCTTGGAATTGTCAACACAGTACTCCTGGAGATGTTCCCCTGATTGATCCATACATTTAACCCTCAATGATCACGTTTGTTAACTGGGTAACAGTACAATCGATTATTCCTCAGAGTAAGCGAGCATACACGGCGAGAGGAAAAGTCATTATAAATTCATGCAACGATATTCATACGAAGGGCAATAAAGAAACATGTCCCGAAGGCAAGAGTAGTTAGCAATTAATTCATTTGTAATGTCATGCAATTAAAAAAAGAGGAAGAAAAAAACGAACGACTAAAATACTTCTAAGTGACCGTATCCACGTAACTCAATGGGCAGCAATGTTCTTCACGATCAGTTGATATTTAACGCACCACCTTGGAATGGCAACCCTTCTTGAAACACAACTTTTTGGAACAATCTTATTTGTCCCGATATGCGTGTTGTGTGTCTTCTTTGCCACTTGTTCAATTCTTTGCGTAAAGCAGACGCCGGGCGATGCGTCGTGAGGGTGTGAGTGTGGGGGAGGGTCGTACAAACGGCTTCGTTCTCTCTCTTGCTCGGGGGCGGCCACAGTTTCTGTCCACAGCTGGGTGGAAGAGTCGGCACGACGTTCGCCGTTGGTGCGCGATGATCCGTCGTCAGATAGCGCCCGCAGCTCGTCCGCTGGCTGCAGTTCCTCACTCTTGTCTTGGTTCCCAGCCGGTGCCGGTCGGTGCGCGTGCGGGTCGAACCCACGGCGCGCTCGCTGGCGCCGACACTCTTGCTCACGGGCGGCTGGTCAGGCTCTTTCCCCTGCTGGATGAGCCGAGTCGGCACAACGCTTGTCCGCTGGCAGCTGTCACCCTTGCTTGGTGGCACTGGTGGCGCTCTCTCTTGCTCCGTCTCTCTCTCTGGCGACGCTCCATTGCGCGTGCAGCTCTTCACCCTTCTTCCAGGAGGGCTCTTGCTGTGAGCTGCTCGTCGCTGGCTGGATCACTCACTCTCAAAACTTGAAAATTGTATTTGCACAACTCTTACACAACTCTGATAGCTTAGTACGATACAGCTTATCGCAATCCTCGATTCCGCAAGCGACTCAAAACATTAGGATGAATGTAGAATAAACTTCCGGCGATACTCTGTCGGTCCATGCCGAACTCAGCACCGAACGTCACCTCGGCCCTCTTCTCTGCGAGACACAGCACCCATTGCTAATGTCTCGAGGCCATGCCCCGGAGCTGGCTCGCTGTCCTCTTCTGAGCTGCTGTCTCTTGCCGAGCTTCAAATGTCGAGCTGTCCCCTTGTCGAGCTGAATTGTGTGTCGTGTTGCTGTTTATATCTGAGAAATCTCCCCTCTGCGCGTCTCTTGCGAGAGAAAAAAAAACAGATGCTTACTCCGTCATGCTCCCCCCCGCGGCCGCGCCTGATTGCCCCCCTCCCCTCCTCTCTTGGTGACCCCGGGCGGCTGCTTTACATCAAATTGATGTTTGTTTGCACTCCCAATCTCTCTCTTCGCCGTGTCCGCTGAGGGAGAGAACGCACCTTTCATACGTATTTATGGCTACCATGTGTTTGTGTCAAATTGTTGGAAGACAAAGTCGGCCGGGGAGGCTCTGATTTCATGGAATACATATTATCTGGTCTTGTGTGGTTGACCTATTTTCTTGAACCTCTAATGAATTACCCCATGTCTAATCTCTTGTGATTATTATTTGGTTTATGTTTAACCAAGATTTGTAATGTACCATTAGATGTTACCTCCGGTATTTCAAGCGTTTTATTAACTTTTGCTCCCTGTTTGCATCCAGGGATCCGTGCTTTTTATTCTCGAGGTCAGAGATATCCCGAGGCTGGAGATATAACCAAGCCCTCACTTTCTTGACTGCCAGAATTCACATTCCTTTGTTCTCTTGGTGAAGTTACATAGATAGAAATATACAATAAGAAACAATATATGAGTTGAATAAGGGTGAAATAACATTAGTAATAATAAAGCCACTAATATAGACTGCAGTCTATCATGTCGACTTATTCTTATAGCCAAGCTTCAACTTTTTCCGTAAAAAAATATATATCAGTTATAATGTCCGTTTGCCCTGTGCTCTGTGTCTGTGCCTGTGATTATGGATATTTGTTTGTGAATTGTCCTTTGGCAATCTGGAGATTTTGCAGATAGGCCTTAACCTCCCTTTGCCCTGGAGTGTATTATTTAATGGCCTTTTACAACCTCCAGATGCTTGGTGCTTGTGGGATGTAGCGGGTTTGAGGGTGTTTATTTATTTATTTTATCGATTATTATAAAATGGCAGAATTATTTTTAATATAAATTTTTGGAAAAAGGACTATATTTACAACACTGGACAGAGGCCAGGGGATCTTAGGAAACCTTCCCATTGTGTCAACTGCCACGCCGGGAAATTAAACCGGCGAAGTCGGCTCAAGTGTGCAGACCATTACATCACAGCAGCATCTTGTCCGACGGGTTCACAGCCAGTTATAGTTTGAGCTTGAGTGCAACTAGGTTTAGTTTTGTGTAAAAGAGGGAAAAGTTATGAGTTTAAGCCGCAGATATTACAACTGTCCAGTTCCGTGTGAAATCAATATCCTTGTTGTTGAATGGGTTTTTTAAGTTGCAGTTATTGATAGGTGTTTCCTGGAGAGTAGCTCACCAGTATGAGATCTAGTCCTGAAGAACAACACACTCATATATCTGGCCTTGAAAGCATTCTACCTTCATCTGGCAGTGTAACCAACATTGGCGTTATCCAAAGCCTGGGCTTTTTTTATTGCAGCCTCACCGTGACAGTTTTCTTCAACATTTTCTCAGAAGCATGAGTGCAACTTTTCGAAATGGATGAATACGGCGTTTTGTTTTGAAGACGTTGCACTCCCACAAGAAGGCATTCTCCCCGCACCTCCGATTAGCACGGTTGGCTACGTACGGCGCAGACGAAGTTCAACGTACACACGTTCTGCAATCGATAGTGCTTAGGAGAAGTTTACCGTGGGGACCCTCGGGGAGTTTGCCTCCCTTCACACGCGAGCATTATCGATCACGTGCACGACCGTCACTGTTTGAACGCACCGATACATAAAAACTGACGGTCTTACCGTGCCCCACTGCAGTGAATTTAAGCAGCTAGCTGACCCAAAGTGGGGCCGTGTAAAACATGTAAATGTTCCCCCGTTCGTTGCTTTTCATTTTCAGTGCATCGATGTAAAATTTGTCTCCGTGGGTCGTGAGTTCGTGGAGTATTCCACAAGATTCAGCCCTTGGCCCCAAGCTGTTTCATGCCTACGTGTCCCCCTCGGATGAAGGATTAACAAATATAAATTTGGGGTTTTCGCTGTTATGCAGATGATACCCCCCATGGATTGTTACTTTCATACCAAACCGGAGATGAGAGGCTCCCTGCTATCTCAGTTCCTGAGTGAAATGCAGTCGTGGGTGGCTATAATTTATCTTAGAATAAATTCCAATAAAACAGAGGTGATATTTGTCTGCTCCAAATACACTTAGCTAAATCCCCCCAAGATTTAAATCCTTTTTTATAGTCACGTGTTAACTCCAATACTACGAAAACGTGGGAATGACTGCATCCACAATCGTGTTTGGATACCCACAGAGGCCTATTTTACCATTTGAATCGTTTATTTTTGACATTCAGATCTATTCCATCTGATAAATATGCCGAGATGTTAGTTTGTGCTTTTTACTTCTCGCTTATACAACAGTAATGCTCAATTTCGTTGTCAGAGTGCCGACTCAGCACGCACAGTTCACTAGATATTACTCCAGTTCTTAAAACGCTGCTCTTGCTCCCTGTTAAATTCTACGTTGATACTATTCACGAAGCCCTCTGTGACCATGGGCCTTTATATTTTGCAGGAACTGCTTAAGCCTTGCGCTCTCGAGTCGCACCTTGAAACAATTGTTTGCTGAAGCTTTGTTAGTGAATGCAAATTGTCTAAAATCAGGATGGGCAAGGGCCCCTAGTTGTCGTGCTGCCTTCCTCTGGAGCAGTATGTTAAGTCTCGACAGAACTGCTGGCACAATTGCGTATTTTCAATCAAACTTAGAACGTGCTGCCTTTGGTTGAGTTGCCTTGTTTTTGACCCGGATTGATTGGCTTCTGGCCCGTTGGGTGTATTTAATCATTTAGAGATGCTCTGCACGAAGTGATTGCAAAACGTTTTAATTTAAAAGCAAACCTGCACTGCCGTGCCTGCCTTTGTTCGTCTCTTCACCGCCCACTTAGCTCCCTTTCCACCCACCCCCCCCCCAACCATAATACAATCCGTTTCAACTGTCGCACGGACCAGCACCCGCGTCGATTCGTCGACATGCGCTTCACTAAGGACGGTGACCGCGCTCGCGTGGGGTCACGTCTCCGAGGGCTCGCAGGAAAACCGCCGTGGCACGTCTATGCCTGCGAGAGTTGCCTCTGTGCGCGTGTGTGTGTGTGTGTATGTACGATCGTGTGCCAAACTTCTTTCCCAACCGTACGTAGCCGACCGCGCTGATCGCAGGTGCCAGGAGTGTTTGCTCGTGACCGCGTGGCACTCAGATAATAACGATTTTATTCAGCCTCTTCCATATTAAAGTATTTCAACGCTGTATGTAAATTTAAACTTCACTCACGAATATAGATGAAGTCTAAGCAAAATAGAAAAACGGTAATAACAGTTTCAATGGCTACTCTCGAAATTCCAATAATATGAAGAACAATGCTAAAAGCGAATTATAATGATATTTTCAGAGTAATCCAATCAGACAACAGCATTTTTTAAAATCTTAAGGTACAGAGAAAGCCTGCTGTACAAATAGGTGAGTTTTTAAGACATGATTTCAAAAAGTGACGCGCACTCGGAATCCCTAATTGTACCGAGGAAGGGGATTCCACAATCGCAGAGTCTGGCTGCAGAAGGCTTCGTCTCTCATAGAACAACAACAACATCATCACAGTCTCGTATTTGGACCGATGAGTAGACCAGAATCAGCTGATTTGAGTTTTTCGCGGGCGCGCATGCTGGGCCTGTTTTTGAAGCACCGTGCCTGACCACGTGGTCTTGCCCTGCTTGTTGTCAGGGATGTTTGTGAAGCACCGTGCCTGACCACGTGGTCTTGCCCTGCTTGTCAGGGATGTTTGTGGAGCACCGTGCCTGACCACGTGGTCTTGCCCTGCTTCTTGTCAGGGATGTTTGTGAAGCACCGTGCCTGACCACGTGGTCTTGCCCTGTTTGTTGTCAGGGATGTTTGTGAAGCACCGTGCCTGACCACGTGGTCTTGCCCTGCTTGTTGTCAGGGATGTTTGTGAAGCACCGTGCCTGACCACGTGGTCTTGCCCTGCTTGTTGTCAGGGATGTTTGTGAAAGCACCTTGCCTGACCACGTGGTCTTGCCCTGCTTGTTGTCAGGGATGTTTGTGAAGCACCGTGCCTGACCACGTGGTCTTGCCCTGTTTGTTGTCAGGGATGTTTGTGAAGCACCGTGCCTGACCACGTGGTCTTGCCCTGCTTGTTGTCAGGGATGTTTGTGAAGCACCGTGCCTGACCACGTGGTCTTGCCCTGCTTGTTGTCAGGGATGTTTGTGAAAGCACCGTGCCTGACCACGTGGTCTTGCCCTGCTTGTTGTCAGGGATGTTTGTGAAGCACCGTGCCTGACCACGTGGTCTTGCCCTGCTTGTTGTCAGGGTTGTTTGTGAAGCACCGTGCCTGACCACGTGGTCTTGCCCTGCTTGTTGTCAGGGATGTTTGTGAAAGCACCGTGCCTGACCACGTGGTCTTGCCCTGCTTCTTGTCAGGGATGTTTGTGAAGCACCGTGCCTGACCACGTGGTCTTGCCCTGCTTCTTGTCAGGGATGAGCACCGCAATTTTTGCCTTTCACCCATCGAGGGACGAATGTTTATTCATTTTATGCGTTTTGTGTAATTACTTAAATGTGCACTTGCAGCCTCACTGCCAGCAATTACAGCTGCTTAGCGACTGTGACTAAGGTCTGCAGCTCCAGTTACAAGATGCCTCAGTTTGAAGCATCAGTGTGCTTTAATTGGAGATCCAGCAAGAACATTAAATATTAACCGATGTGGTGGTGAAAGGTGTTGCAGCTCAAGTGTTGATCATTGGTGCTTGCTACAAAAGGCGCCTTTGCGAGTTAAATTTTTTGTTAAATTAAATTGTGTTATTGCTTCGATTTTCTCCCGTAGAATAATATAGATTTCGTTCTATTCCAGGATTTCAGTTACACTGTGACCTGCATTGTGCAAAAGTAATGCATTCTGATGAAACATTTTGGCTAAGAATAATTTCCACAGTTCAGTTAAGCTCTTCCGTCCCTGGGTAATGGTTAAGGAAGAAAAATCTCGTGCACCCTTCTGGAAACCTTTCCACATTTGGCCATTGATTTGTAAATTACGAGCCTGCAAACAATCAACTGCACTGCTTTTAAGTTGTCTTCATCATGAAAAGTGCATAGAGACCATTTTTTGTTTATATTTTTGACAGTAACACGGATAGAAGCACCTCGCTTTGGGTCACACTTTTCAGTGCCTGTTTCTATCTTAATAAATAAAAACTTCCTTCATCCGCAAATACTTCCACTCGAAATATTGTAATCGTAAATAATGTTTTAACAACGTAGGCTTTTGCGGCCAATATCATCCATAATACAGTTTTTGTTGGGCTAAATCGCGTAAAAATATAAATGTGTCGGTAAACCCACCACCACCCGACACAGCCAATTAGTAAGATTTGTCACGTAAACAGAACGTGGCAACGCGTTACTAGTCCAGCCACACCGGTGTGTTGGAGAGCGAATGTTGTGGCTTTGCTCTCCAACACACCGGTGCGCTCTTATAGTCACGAATTGGTACGATTTGTTCGTGACAAACCTTTACTAGTTGGCCGTGTCGGGCGGTGGCGGGTTTAACGACACATTTATATATTTACGCGATCTAACCCAAAACGACCTGCATTATGAATCGTAAACAATGTTTAGAATTGTGAAAACATTTGAATGAATTGTCCTCGGTTGCCGTGTGTGGCCATCTTGTTTGCAAACAGCATTTGCACGACTCCACACGTTTTAGGTGAGGTGGCTAATTGTGTCAATGTGTTTCTGTTCGTTACAGATTTATTTCTCACCAACCAAGATGGCCATCAAGTCAAGTATGACATGTGGTACAACGTGGTAAGAGCCTCTGCATTGAACACAAACGACACGAAATGTTAGCCAAGCACTCCCGTGCAATTTAAGTGCTAAGCATTCTTGTCTCGGCACTCCATCTCAACAGGCTGGAATGTTATAATTATAGTTTTTTTTCTTCTTCTTCCTCTCACACTTGCCCCCAAAAGGGCCCCGTGACGCAAAGCAGAACGCGCACAAAGTTGACCCCGTTCCTTTAGTTTAGTCCACAGTTATTTGGGTGAACGACGCGTTTGGAGGGAGTTTCCCGAGTGAGATGGTGCGAGGAAAGTAGCAAGAAATGAGAACTCTGCACCGTAATGGTGGTTGAGTACAGATCGGAATAAACGGGCAGTCTCGGCTCGAGTCCCCAGCATGGGTGGAGGTGTCTAGGCGTGAAGTTTATTAAGACAATGACCAGGGGAGCAGTGTTATATATTCATGTTATATTTGTTTTTTCAGAGGCACTATACTAAATGTATGAAATTTATTTGATCCGCCCCTTCATTATCCCGATGAAATCTGTTGTCACCTGCCGTGATAACACCAGCGAGCAAATTGATGTGATTCTTCGTGGAGTTTTACGCTATCCCCATTCTTAACCATGTGATCGTTGCTTGGCGCGACATCGCACGGCGCCGCACATTTCCTTCCTTGTGACGTCACAAAGTGAGGCTGTCATCACGGGCAGAGGTGAGAGGCCATTTTAGCACGCGCCCAGTTTGCCAACAGTCCAAGAGTGGTATGCGTTGCTCCCTAAGAGCGCTCATCTCTTATACGAGGCACTGATCACAAAAGCACTGGGTGGGGGGGGGGGGCAGGGGAGTGGTCGACCGCAATCTTTGAAGTGCTTGGTATATGAACGTATTGGCGGTACACCGGTGAGCGGTATTAAAAAAAATAGCAACACGTTTTTTTTTTTTCTGTGATTCGCAACCCCGGTCAGAATATCTTCTGAACGGGGTTGCAGGGTGCATGAAAATCAGTTCTCGTAATGTCGAAGCAGTTGGAAGAGGACTGTTGTGAGTGGCTTAACACGAAGCTAAACAGTCTTGTTGCCGTATAGCAGCACCCAGCCCTTTTGACGATTGGCTGGCTCCTTGTTCCAAAGGCGGATTTGACTCGTGCTCTAAACTTGATGAGACGGGTTCCTTGATTCAACGGACCCAAATCAACGGTCAATATTAACCTTTTGTTAGCAAGTCTTATTAGACTGAATAAAACTTCGAATCGCGTCAAACATGGCGACGGAGTCAATTAAAGACTGATAAACAGATTTTCTTATTCGAATTTCGATTTTATACTGTTTGTTTTATGCTGCAACCGGTGTACCGCCAATAAGTCCATATACTCGCCATGAATTGAAGGGAGGAGGCTCCTCATTGACGCTCTTGCCCTTTCCTTTAAAGCTTAAATAGACTCTCAGGAAGTTAATCTTGCCTGCTTCATTCGCCCGACGGAATTACTGCAGGTGTGCATTTTGGCGAACTTTTGAATGCACGTGCTCGGGCAGCGCTCCCAATCTGCCCTTGCACGTTAATGTTTGGTTCAGCACACACACACGCACCCATGCACTCCGTGGTAATGGATTCCCTGCTCTGGCTTGTGTTTGCAGAATGGAAATTTCACGTACGGCCAGAGTCTGCCTCCTCCAGCGGACTTAAAAGTCATCGGGCAGTCGGCGTTTGCTGATTTTGGTACGTTTCTGAAAATGCACATCGGCTAATCAAATAATTTATTTACCGGGCACTGCATATCACCCGTACAGAATCACAAGCGCGGTTAAATAGTGGCTCGGTTTCAAGCCTTCTTGAAACAGCGGCAACGCATCACCGCGGCACTTAGCTTCATTGTCGGCAATGGAATTGGTGGCGTGTCTTTTGGCAAAAATCAGACAAAAAGTAACATTTAGCGATGTGTGCATTGGGTCTAGAATGTATCTACTGTGTGCGCACGCGTGTGTATGTTTTGTCCGGAGCGGTGGCGTTGTAGTTAGCGGCGCTGAGCTACGAACCCAGGTACCCGAGCTCCATTCCCACTCACAGCCAACACCAGTGAGGATTATTTGAACTCCGTCCTGGGCCTCCCTTATCTCGACTCGGCCTCAAATGAGTACCTGGTGCAGTGTGTAAACATCGCCACTGGGGAGACAAAGGCAGCCGGGCGTGGTGCTGGCCACCCGCCCCCTAGCGTGCCATGCCAGCCTTCATAGGTGCCCTCTTAACAGCGCTTGCCCCAACAGTCTATTCGGGCTATACGGAGATTCTTTATGTGTCGTTTACTATCTCCTCTCTTTTACTAAACCGCTTAGCAAAACCAGCCAATCCCCATGGGAGCATTAAAGACCAATTTATCTTCTCAGCGTTCCCATGGGAACGCAGATTTTGGTTGAATGGTTCATTTGGCCGGCGGACTGCGTTACTGACGGCCGTGTTCCAGGGAGCCACATTCCGGTGCTTCAGGTGCAAGGGTCATAGCTGCAGCCAGATGACCCAGCGACCGCTGCCGCCCATGTACGTACCAAAAAAAAAAACGCCGACTTTTTCATTCGTCGTTCATTGGGGGCCTTTCATTTGAGAGGAACTCGAAACGATTTCTATGCCCGTGGACCACCTCACACAGAATGCCTGTGATCTTGTCAGATTCCTATATCCAAGTATGAATGAGCCTGGTTAGCGCGTGGATGGAGAGCCGCCGTGTGTAAAACAGGTGCTGCAGACCGCTGCGGGCATGCGTTTGCCAGCAGAGGGCCGTGCGGCAAAATCAATGTTCGTACTGTGCTATGCTCCAACATCTATGCTCCCCGTCACCAAATATGCATCGGTTAGCGTGGTGAAGTATGCTCAAATAACCCCCGCCCCCCAACCCGCACGACATGGGTCGCGTCGTCACCCAGCATTGGATTGAAAGTATTTTCACGTGTGTGAGAAAACAACGGCCTTGGTGAAGATGTGGAGGCTGTTCCGTACGTGTGTATATGTATGTATGCCGCACGTACGTGTGTATGTGTGTATGCCGCACATACGTGTGTATGCCGCACGTGCATGTGTGTGTGTGTCGCACGTACGTGTGTGTGTGCGCCGCACGAATGTGTTGTGTATGTCGCACGTGTGTGTGTGTGTATCTATATGTCGCTCATCCGTGCGTGCGTGTGTGTCGCACATGTGTGTATGTATGCTGCACGTACGTGTGTATGTATGTCGCACGTACATGTGTATATGCGTGTATGTTGCACGTACGTGTGTATGTTGTATGTGTATATCGCACAAGGGCATGCATTGGCACCTTTTCCTTGACCACACATTTTAATCTATTTTATTTACAACCCTGTCATTTTGGAAGTCGTGTTGGGTTTACATAACGTTGCATAATTAAATGTGATTAAGGTCCTACGGCCAGTCTCTGTCTGTGCATTGGAGGAAATTTCTTGGCGAAACCACACATTTGGGGGGAAATAGATAAATAGATAAATCAATAACCTGTCAATGAAACGCTTGCATTGTATACATTATGTTTTGTTTAATGCACGCTGTCTGTCTTGCTCCGTGTGGAGGGAAGGCTGCCATGATTTATGTGGCACGTGGTGTAAATAACAAATTGTTGTTTAGAAAGACTGCCTCATTTTGGTGACTGTTTGATTGATCACCTTGCTTTTTCAAATTTACAGTGCCAATATGTCATTGGCACCCAGGTACCGTGTGCGTGTTGGATGCACGTGTGTGTGTGTGTTTGTGTGTTGTTCGGAGCGGTAGCGTAGCTGTTAGCATGCTGCAATCCGAACCCAGCGACCCGAGTTCGATTCCCACGCATGGCCAAGATCAGTGACTATTATTTGAACCAGTCCTCGGCCTCCCCTAGGTTGATTCAGCCTCAAATAAGTTCCCGGTGAATTGCATAAACATCGCCATTAGGAAGACAAAGGCTGCCGGGCATGGTGCTGGCCAAGCATCCCCTTGTGCACCGTGCCGGCCTTTATAGGTGCTCACTAACAGCACTTGCCGCAAAAGTCTGTTAAGGCTGCACGCGACATCGTTGTCTTTTATGCATAATTATTAGTGGGATTTGCAAGTCAATGCAAATCACCGTTAAATCCCATATGCAGACAAACCTGACGATTCATTATTCCGCGCCTCTGCCGCACAGTGTAACAGTGGGGGCCCGGTGTGTCTCTGAAGCCAAGGGTCCTTTGTGCAGCGTGAGTGAATTGCAAAGGGGGGCGGTTGTGAAATGCCTGCACGTGCATTTTATCTCCGGCGTTGCACAGCGCTGCAGAGTAATTTACGCACATTCATCTCATTGCCAGTGGTCCCACAACTCCCGTGATTATGACCCCATCACTACATACTGGGCATCGGCTGATGTGCATATCAATTGCCACACATCTGTGTCTGCTGATTGGCAAACTTTGAACGTTCGATCGTTTCGGCGTCCAGAGGGGTCCCGCGTTGATTAAACCCAGCCACAACTGAGGCGCAATAAAACATAAGAAATAGTTGCGATTTGTACAAATATCGTTGTGCAGTACCGGGTCGATCTGCCGAACGCTTCGATAACATTCAGAGAATGCTCAGATAACTATGACATTGATGGATGGGCGTCACATATCAGGAACGCATGATTTCCGGCGTCGTATACCCGAGTGTGCGTGTAGCACACGTCACAAATCCAGAATGTCAAGCGTGTCGTATTCGATAGGCAAGCCCTCTCAATTTAATTATGCATTTTAGTTGCACATAACTACAAATAATAATGCTGAATATGAACAGGAAGAGAACATCGTTGCTTTACTCCACGCTTGAAAAGAAAAAATCCTACCACGCAAATTCGTAAACCATTCACAATTTTCGTTGGATGTGCGTGATTGCATTTATTGTAAGGTATGTAGATGTTTGACGAGACACTTTGATTATTCTGGTTCGCTGTTCAAAACGAACGCTTTCGGACATGCTCCGTAGCAACACCGAATGTGCCCTTGCGTGCGTTGCCATGTTGTGAGCAAACGCTTAATGAGAGCACAGCAATTGCTGCCAGCGACAACCCCCCCTCTCCCTAGCGTCCTGTTATATGTTACCATTGTCCCTCCTGCCACACGGATACATTAGCCTCAAAGCCCTTCAATACGGAACCCTTTGTTGCTTCGAGTTTTCTGAACAGCCTCAAGCCCACCGCTCAGATTCACCTCTCTTCCCACAGATCCTCACAGGCACGTGGGGGGTGGGGGGGGAGACGATTTTGAGATTTAATGGCGTCTTTTTATTTTTAAGTTCCCCATTGTGTTTATTGCCAGATCCACATTATAAAAGGTTCCCGCGGATTTTTACGTTGTCGCGTCTAACTCGTTTGCCAAACAAATCTCCCCCCCCCCCCCCCCCGGCGCTGTTGCAAAGTGTGAAATGTTTTTGTGTTCACTCGGGACAAGCTTGTGGTCAAAACCTTTGCAAAAGTTGGCGCTCTTTATTTAATGCCGCCACGCCATTCACGATGCCTGCAACAACGGCTTAGAGACCTGTGCGCGGTTTTGCTGTTCCCGCCGCCAAATGGCAAATCGTCGTTCATTTATGAACACATAAAATTCGAGCCCGAACTCTTTTGTTTCCCCAAACCTTCAGTCGACACATCTCGTGACCCCCCCCCCCCCCCAGAGCGTGTGTAAAACCTTTGCCCTTTGCTGCATCTTCAGGTTTGTTCCCGTCATTACGGTGAAAAGTTTTCACGTGTGCCGTTCATTATGACGCCGCGCCAACAAGATTTGTTTGCATGCCACGCAACACGGCTAAGGGGATCAGTGCCTTGCGATGCCAGGCGCAGTCGTGGCAACCGCGGTGGTCGCCACGGTGGCGACATTTTAACTGCCTCGCCAAGGTATGGAGGAGGACGTGGGTTTGATCTTGACCCTGACGCCCGTATATTTGGAGTTTGCATGTCTCTCTCCCCGTGGTCACGTGGATATTTCTCCGGTTCTTCCGGTTTTTGCCTCCACATTTAGAAACATGCGTTTCGGAGTATATGGCTGCTCAGAAATTTCCACGTGATAAGCCACTTCGTTGAGCTATCATTTGTGGCCAGGTCGCTTCTGAAAATGAGCTATATCACTCAGTGGGCCTTATCTGGTAGTTTATTGCTTCGTTTTAATTTAAAACCATGATTCCGCAAGTCAGAAATCGCAGCGGGACCAATAGTTGCTTGTCCGTTGCAGTAACTTGGAGAGAAAAAAGTATCCCCCTGTTAAGGTGAGAACTTGACTCTGTGCTCGCAACATTCCAGCAGGATGGGTACCTCTCCTCCCGATGCCACTGCAAAGCGGAGTAGCTGAACAAATATATATTTAAAAGCGTCAAAGCACTCTTGCAGCGTGTGGAGTGCAGTGAATCACACTTTGGTATTGAGAGAAAGTTCCATCCTCTGCTTGTGTTTTTTTCTCTAAAGAGTCTCCAAGTGGGTAGAGCGAATGTTGAACAACTGCTTTGCCAAGAGCCGAATCGCTTAACCGTGACTGCTCCGAGTTGACGCATCATCGTTTGGCTGTCGAGGCATTGGATAAAACGCAGCATGTGGTAATGAATTGCATTGTTTAGTCAGTTATTGTCTTTCAGTTTGAGATAATGCACAGCATACACAAATTCATCAGCGTTTATTTTTGTGGGAGAAGTTGGGCAGAGCCTTTTGAGTACAGTGTAAGATTGAATTCTCTTCATGG